CCTAGTCTCATCTTTTCCAGAGGCGCGTAATAACCACTGCACTATCGGCGCTCCACTTCTTCAACCACTCTGCAACACAATGCAGCGATTTTTATCCATTCGAGCTCAGTCCCACATCAAGGTTCAAAGTTTTACATATAGCTCGATAGTATTGGATATATAGTTATTATAACACCACTTTACTACCAAAAAATTGGTCAAATAAAGAACTAATTTCAATATACCATGAGATCATTTCTGAGCTACGCATCTCCTCTGGTCTGTTAAAAAGGGCTGACTTATAGAGCCCGATACACGAGTTTCGACCTTGCAGGCTCGTCAGTCGGCCAGTTACCCTTTCTCGCCTTTTGCTAATTTTTGTGGGAGCCCCTTCACCACACTAAGAGTTAGCGATGACGAACGTTTTACACTTTATGTCCAGTGAAATTTCACCGAACACAGAATGTTGTACACTCAATTGCTCGTGGCTAGTATATTCAATATATCATTCTTTCGTTTCGAGTGCTTTCTTAAGACAACAGCTCAAATTTCCATATGCCACAAAATCATTTTTGAGCCACGCATGTTGTGTGGTCTGTTGAAAAAGGGTTGACTTGTAGAGCCCGATACACGTGCTTCGACCTTTTTCAGCTTATTAACAGACCACAGACATGCGTGGCTCAAAAATCATTTTGTGGCATATTGAATTTTGAATTGTGGTCTTAAGAAAACACTCGAACGAAAGAACTAATTGAATGGATCTAAGATACTGCAGAAGAACCTTCGAGCATTCTTCTTCGAATCATTGAAAATAGATGCCCTATTTATATAATGAATATTTATATAATAAGGGATGGCGGAACGACAGCCATACCAATATCGAAGTGTCGAAATAACGCAAATAAGCGGAACATTGCGAATGGACAAGGCCGTTAGCATTATCCTCCTTTTCCAAGCACCGCCATCGATTCCTGAATTGCTGGCTACCAAAGAAACTTTTGGAAATACCAAAACACATTCTACATCTATTGAAAATCCGCCTGTCAAAAACCGCAGATTCTCCTGATGATGGACAAGTTCCATTCACCAGATACGATGATTGTTCATGTTCTAAGAATTGAAAATGACTACAAGTACATAAAAGACACTTGGTTGATACATAAATATAAAACTCAGTGGTAAAATTACATATAAAACCTGACTATGAGCGAAAACACAGCGAGACGAGGAAGAGTACTTTTAGGAGACACAGCACTCGACCGGCTAAAAATGACTCATTCTTGGACGAACAAACAATGTAGCGTGTTCCCACACACAGCCATAGGAAATAAAACGTCGCAATTTCGCCCTTTCTATTTTGATTTGTTGTACTCCAAGCATCTTCAAAGAATTCGCTACGCTGTGCATTGATCTCAATGCGCGCAACAGGAAAGTAAAATAGTGCTTGATCTCAAATAGCAGCCATCGAAACAAGGCGTTTTCCTTACGAATAAATGAAGAAATTACTGTTATTAAAAGAAATCTGTGTGGCTATCCACGTTGTTGATTATATCATTACTGCTATCAAACATTCTAGACGGCATGGTAACGGATCGATCGGCTGCCTATCCAGAACGAAAACAACGCACACACACACGCTCATACACACTCCCACACACACACACACACACACACACACACACACACACACACACACACACACACACACACACACACACACACACACACACACACACACATAAACACATACAAACACATACGCACTCAGAGGCGCTCACACAGGTTTCACTCACTCACACAAACACACACGCTTCTACTAGGACGTACACTCACACACCGCCATACCGAAAGAGAGGAACTGATGCACAGCTGCTCCGCCCTGTGGTGTCATTGCCATCTCGTCGCCTGAGTTCAGATGTCGTATAGGGTCTGATCAATCCATATGCTTTTCATTGGCTGCTTATCAATGAGAAATTCTCAATCTCGATGATAAATCTGTAAAAACTTCACAATCGCACAGCTGGGCGACTTTTTTTTCTCTCTTCCCAGCAATCGATAGAGAGCTTGCCTTGTGTACTTTAAACTGCGAAATGTTTCGAATCTATAACAGAATCATGAAAAGTAATCGTGGAAGAAATCCTACTCTCTCCTAACTATCCTTCGTGTTTTTCTGAAGACAGTGAATGCATTCAATAGTATGTGATGACAAACTTTTTTTATTCTCTTGTGGATCCCGGTGTTTCTAGCATTCAATTCGTTTTTCGCCTTTTTCTTAACTGACGTAGAGTACTGGTTGAGCAAATCTCTGCATTCACGAGGATAGCCTGGCTGTGGCGTTCCATAAGACATTGTTGTTAACTGCCTGAGAAGGTTGGGAGGTTAAGCTCGGCACCACGCTCGCCACGACGAGCATCACAACCACGCGGCCACGGCGATATCAAACTGTGTAAAAAAAAAAAAGACTGAAAATCTAGAACAACCTTATATTCTGCTTAAAACGATGTCTCACATTCTGCTAAATCCTGCTCATGTTGATCATCAAAGAGGAACTCGTGGAAATCTTTGCTAACGTTTCGGCGATTTTGCCTTCATCAGAGTCACGGTGATTCCAGTCGAGTGCCTACGCTTTATGTATCTCTTGCGATGCTAGTCACCGTAATCGTGACATCGATCAAACGAGTACAGAGTCGATTCCCGCACCGTATTATGCAAAACTGCAGTCATTCTGAGGTCACTTAGCATCATTCAGCAGGCCTCGCATAGTTACAGGACAGTCCTGGGGCGATTGTGAGCCGACATTACTTGCTTCTTCAGTCACAATTCATCCTGCAGCTGTCGTCGGATCAATAGTAAGTGACATACGAATGTCAACCTTGAAATCCAACATTCATTGAATAGCGGTGTAATCGATCCATATTCTCCTTTTGTTGATGAGCTGACACGAGGTCTTTATATTTTCTCTGTTACTATTATTTTTATAGCCTTGTGAATGACCTTCTTGTTTAATTGATGCGTTCTTTGGATGCTTAGATGTTAGCGGCCAACGAGGCTTGTTGACGCGATGGCGCTCGCTCGCGCTTATTGATTCTCGTCGGAGTTGGTTGCGATTTCCTGGACTATTCGAAAAGCTGGAGAATTTCAATTTTGTCATATGATCGTGCCGATTCCTTCTCAACACTTTTTTTTTATAGAAGAAATCTCAAACTTCCGTCTGGTCCGTCCTCACATCTATTATGCTGGTCGCAGCACTTCTTGTGCTTGATTCTTGCTCCTTGGTATTGCCATCATCAGCGAAGGTCGTGGAACTTTGTCACTGATGACGAAAGATACGCCGTCTGCTGCATGAGTCATTGGCTGTCACTGGGAGAGTTGTTGCCATGTGTGAACTAAAACCGGATCCTACGACGAAAATAAACGGCTTTTCTGTTTCATTGATGAAATTGGAAAATACTCCGTTATGAACTATTGGCACACAAAGTCACTGTAGCAGGCACATTTACACAGCGGAGCTCTAGGTGTTGGACAACACTATTCATAAACATCATCCGAAACAAACAGCATTGTTTTGAATCATGATGGGAATTTTCATTAGTTCGATTGCTTCGTATATGAGAATTCTGACTATTCTAGAACTCTGTTGAAGAATCTTCCCTATCCAGTGTACTTTCTGAATGTTTTCTTTTTCGTTTATCGTTTCTCGCGATCGCGTAGGTTGAGAACGATCAAGAGCAACTGAGAAACATTACAACCATTTCTTCGTATCCCAGTCGCGAACTCTTTCCTTTTTGGACGTAATATTGAGCACACATGAGATTTATGTGAGAATATGACATGGATATCAATGGTGATTGCTGCGTAATTGAGGGTGTTTCTTTTCTAATAAAATTATGAAGTTTGAAAAAATATTTACCTCTGTAAATCTCTCTTTGGAAACTATTAGATATTAATTCATACCCAGTTTCTCGTTCGTGCAGAAACAATTTTCAGGAAAAATATCTGTAGATTGCTTTGTACTAGTTTTTTTTACTTTGGACGTTTCTTTGGTACACTTAGACTTGTGACCATTCTACTCAACAGTGTGTGCGCCTCCCTCCTTGCTACAATGCAGCACTTAATGTGGGGCGTGGGTCACTGACGAGGAGAGCAAGACCTCCGAATTTCACTTGCAAAAGGCCCTGGCGTACAAACCTCGCTTAGGCTCCAAACATTCTTTTTGAATTTATCTTGAGTGGGGGAAAGTGTTCAAAACCGACTTTTGTTGAACCGAGCATGTTAATAATACGAAAAGGAGAGAAGTAAAGATTAGCTTAAAAACCTTTCTTTATTTTAAGCCTTCGCGAAGTTAGTATCTCTTCAAGAGATAATCGATATTCTTCCTGATTATTGATGGCTCTCCTTGGAAATTGGTGGCCGAGTGTACGAAAGAATAGTGGAGTTGGATGAGGTGATCTCGATGTCATCTCGGAGCAGGGTGAGGTCAATTGCCGGCGAACATTTTATGGTGCCTTATATTATCGATGCCACCTAACCTCACCTGCTCCATTACGCATATTGTGTTCGTCGTGAGACCACAGATTCTACGATACGTTTTTCTATAAGGAGTAGCATTTTGAAATTTCGTTTGCATTATTCTCATCTGAACTCATAGCTATGAAGGTTGCTAAAGTGATTCACTGGAATCTCGAACAAAAATCTATCAAATACTAAGTTTTTCTATTGCGACAACCAATATTTGTCGTTTTTAGCTGATTCGTCAGACATTTATCTTCGAAAATGCATCAAATCAACAACTAACGGCATTTGATATCGTAACTATATATTCAACAATTGTTAAGTTTCATGCAAAACTTTGAACTTCGATCAGTACTTGAACCCGCGTCTCATCCTTTCCGAGTTCCAAACTTTTACATATCACCTAACATTCTTCTATGTATAGTTCTAACACCATAATAGTGAATGTAAGGCGGTAAACTAAAAAGAATGCTTATTCCCAATGATAAAGAGTGACGTTCAAAAGCATCTGCGTCAGGTGAGATTCGAACCCACATTTCACCCTATCCGGAGGTGCGTGCTCAACCATTGCACTATCGACGTTCGTTTTGACACCACTTTTTCTACGCTACAACACCTTATCTATCAACAGCCAACTGTCAACGGTCTGGCGTGGGTAATCGTTATCGACATTGAACCCGCTTATAACTTAGAAAGATTGGTGTCAAAACGAGCGTCGGTAATGAAACGGTTGAGCACGCGCCCCGAATGAGGTGAAATGTGGGTTCGAATCAACTGATCATTGGGTATATTATAAAATCTTACTACCGCTAAAGGTGGCCAAATAAAATGCATTCGGAATGCTTGCACATTATGGGGATTTGAGTTTGAAAAATCTAAATAAAAATAGACTAGATGTTCTATTTTCCTCGTCGTTTTATATACGTAAACTTGATGCAGATAGTTCTTTCTTTTTGAAAATCAAATTCAAATTAGGTTGGTTTCCCAGTATTATATTGAATTGCAATTCCTTATAGATAATTGACGGCACGCTTTTTGTCTACTTAGAGTGATTCGTCTGATATCTTTCTTTGCTTTGGTTCTCTACGGTGAATACGTTGGTGCTTTTTTTCCATCAAAAAGATAAAATCTTTTAAAATTTTTCAATCAAAGTGGAAATGATTGTTGAACGATTGAAAAAAACATTTTGAAATAGTCGACATTCCCTGTTGTTATCGCAGTGTAATTGTCCAAATATTTTCCATTTATCGAAAACATTGTATAGTTTTATTTCGAGTGTTTCCGTAAGACCACGCTCAAATCTCAATAGATCTTTTCATCGTTATTTAAGCCAACATGTCATGTGGTCGGTAAAGGCTCTTCTACAGCCGGATACACGTGTTTCGACCTTACAGTCTTGTCAGTCGGGCTGAACTCGTCGTCTTTGTATAGTTCCAAATTACCTATGATATGCTAAAACGGCACCGTAACCAGTGAGAGATACAATCTGGGAGAATGGTCGTAATCATTTATAGATCTATTTGTGATTTCGGCCGTTAATTCTCAGAACATCTTCGTAATTTTTCTGTCTCTGTTTCGATGCTTTTCCTGATGAACAGGCATGAGTTTGTTAATATCGGAAATCATTGAATATAATGTATTGCATTAGAAAAAGGCTAACGTTTTGACGGTATCGCCTTTTTCGAGCCTGGAAAGGTCAAATTGACTCGCAATCCACTCGGTCAAACACCTACAACCTCAGCAGGAAATCATTACCAAGCAACTATGGTTGGTGCAGTAAACAGTTTCCTTTTTAAACCAACTCACCATTTTCCAAGACCCACTATTGATTGAACTCGGCATTGATTGAATAGTTTAGTAATATTCGTTCAGCGGACACGAGTTTGTCAAGAGGCGACTCATGGTTTTGTTACTTTCTAGTATAGAATTCTAGCATTTTTATTGCTTTTTTTTTCGCAGTATTATGATGTTTCATATAAACCTAAGTGAATTGAGTGGTGAGCAAAAATACGACCTCAGGCGAGAATCGACCCGCGGGGGGTTAGGGATGGTGAGAGTTCACTAGTTATCACAATACGCTACGCCTTGCGGTGCCAAAAGCTAGAGTTTTCACGCAAATAAATTGAATTCCTCTGCGAGGATACGAACTGTTCCATCAAAATCCTTTATGTTATGTTTTTCATTCCTATGCGAGCCTTCTGGAATGCTTCGTATGGTTTATAGATTTCCATCTAGGGGCTTTTTCAAACTGACTCAATAGTGGTCTAGCCGTTTTGCTAATGTATCCATGCCGCATGCTTTACAAGTGCTTAGTATATCGTATCAGACAGTTTGCTATAGGAGCTCTTGAGGCAATGAAAGTGTTTGACTAAATAGATTGCATGCTTATTTGATCTTTTGAGGCTCTGAAAAAGGCGATACCGCCGAAGCGTTAGCTGCGTTGCGCACTAGTTATTCCCAGAAACCTAGAAGACAACTTAAAATTCTACCATGTGCTCATCAAGAAACACGCTGCATCATTCAATCAATGCCGAAGTAGATAGATAGTCAGTGTTACGAATCTTGTCGCTTTTTTCCTTTTTCTTTTTCCTACGTCCCTCCTTACCTGTTCTCTCTCTCTCTCTCCTCTCACTCCCCCTCACTCTCTCACTCTCTTTTTCATTCTTCCTCCAATTTGGCTCTATCACTTCGCACTCTTTGTTGCCTGTTTTCCGTAATTTTATCTATGCCAGCTGTATCGACCATTGTCATCCGTTTTCCTCCTTTTTTTTAACTCTCGGTCTCGCGGACATTTTTTGCATTTTGCGTTATCTTTGTTTTTTGCGTACTCTTGTGATATTGAATTTCTCCTCTTTTTCTGTTTCAGCCACTCTTCACGCTCTTACAACTCGTCGTTCTTGTTCGACACTTCTCTTTCGCACTTTTCTTTATTCTTTCCAATAATCCAATGGCATCTGACCAAAATTTTCAAGCTTTCAGAACCGCTTCACAGTCCCGGAATGTGCGTCGTTCTTCTTTGCATCCTTGCCGTATTCTGCCCGGTTAGATTTTTTGAATCCTTGTTGAATGAAAAACATTGCCCTCACTGTTGTTGAGAGCTTGGGCATTTTTTTTGGGCTATCGCAAAATATAAATCGACAAGAGCTCTTTACTCGACTGCTTTTTTGAATCAGTAATGTTGTTGAGTGACTTGCGACTTGAACCACTTCTCACCCTTCCCGAAAACGCGTGCTACACACTGCACACCGGGACTCCTGATCTGCTATCACTCTTTCTGCGATGCGGGTACCGATCTTGTCACAACCAACAGTCAGTGTTGTGGAGTGTTAAACACTTGTCGGCATTAAACCCAGTCAAACTAGTACATAGATCGATATACGTATGGAGTGGCAGCATAAGAGAGCCCATGTAGTGCAGTCATTATCACACCACCTCTGAAGGAGTGAGACGTGGGTTCAGCTTCTACCAGAACTCAAGTTTTTGTGACTTAGCATTATCAGGACATAATACTTATTATGAAATAATTCAATGTAGCCATCGTTCTTGCATTCTATACTTTATATCTGACATTAGTCCAGCGCGAAAATTCAAGTCAATAAACATTGTTTTGTATTTCCTCATTTTCTACACTTGTCCAATTTTTTTAGTATCACTGAATTTCACAGCGGGAAAGTGATATTGCAAGAATATATTCATGTATCGGATTGTAAAATTTTTGTTCTTCTGGTTGAATTGTTTTGTAACGGTTACTTCATATTACGCTATAACACGTACTACCTTTTACAACGAATACGATGATAGTACCTCTTATGTATTCCATAATGGGAAGGAGTAGCTTTACAAATAGTAGTATAGTGTCTCAGGAAGCAGGTGACAAGCAAGGCGCTGGTTCGATCTCCTTCAAATTCGCTTGCACCTAACCATTTAAACGCCTAGGAACGTCTTGGATCGGCTAATTCCAGGAGTGCAAGGAGAAATCTCTCTACCAGGCATTTATTCATATTCATTCATACCACATTTATTTAAAAAAAAAAAACGAAATCCTCAAGCACCAGCCGAAGCTTCACGTGAAATGTTGCAAGAATCCTGTGAAGTATGAATGCGAGAGACGGAATGTGGTGGGATCCTTACAGTGATTTGTAGTTACGAGTCATGAGAAAATAAAAGATGTAGTGATAGTGGCATATTATAGCTACTCTTGACTTTAGGACTGCAGGGCGATGAAAATATTCGTGCGGAGTGAAGTAGGGCGAAAAACTTTCGTACTTGTCAGTGTTTCTTTTCCTGGACCTAGTTATCTAGCATAGAATGCCGTTTTTCCCGAAGCAACAAAGTTACGATTCCTAACAAAATTTCTCGAACTCTATAGAGTTGTGGAAAAATACACTAGATTAGGATCGTGAGACTGATAAGCAGTGGGCAAACCGTCATTGAGTTTGCCATTGTATTTCAATAAACACAGTTTCATTCAACACGCTTGATCGAACTGGCTGACATGGAATACTGAGGATAATCGATATTTTCAGCCAGTGGCAGTACTTTTCGATCAAGGATGCACGGGCACCAATTCTGGATCAATTGTCTCTTGACGATCTTGATATGGGTGCCAGGTATAATACACGCTTGGTGGGTGCTGCTGTGCCGTGAGGGCGACCACCGCTACTATGAATACCAACGCGGAGCATAAAACACCAACCTCTCCATGTTACTCAAGGCTTTCTATTTTGAGCACTTGAAATATCACTTACACAATTTGTTACTTCGTCAAGTGATGTATTCAACGTTCTATAAAGTTAAGTCTTAATTTCGAAAAATTCGTACTAGTTAAGCTTTTTGTAAGAGTACTATTGCATTGTCCAGGTATCATTCAATTGTTCTCCAATTTTCATTGTTATGATATTCATAATTGAGGCACCACCATCTGATATGAAAAGCCAGTGTAAATGTCGCTTATGCATTAGTATCCTGGCTTACCACCAGTTTCGTTTGACACGTATGTTTAATAGCGTTATTTTCTCACCAACTGTTATCCTCATGTATGTATGAATAAACTTTTTCATTCCCGTGAAATCTAAAGAATATTCTTTTTTCGTTATAAGATAGCCTTTTTCCCACCAGGATAGCTCTGTCATGGTTTTTATGCTCATACTGTGTTCCGTACAACGTATATAAAACATCTGAATGTGAAGAAGAAAGAAGTTAATTAGTGGAGGACTGGAGTTTTATAGAACCTATGTTGCAAGTGGTTTCACTTCTAGGGCTGGTGTTAAACTGAATTACATGTGACCCATGACCAATGAGTTGTGGGAAAACTGATAATTACCAGTCTCATACATGGTTTAGATTACTTTTGGCTATTTGTTTTGCAATGTTGAGCTTTCCTGTGTTTTCCCCGCATTGATTTGATCGCTTATGCAACACGTGTTATCACGGACGCTGAAAGTTTTCGGCTCAAAGCTCATAAATATGCAAAAAATTGTTCACCGGACGAATTTATTCGTGTGGGTTTATTCATATAGGGTAACGTGAGTGCAGAAATGGTTGTTAATAAAGAGAGTTCAGAAACAGCACGAATTTGTATA